GGGAATTACAGCTAATTAAAAGGAACTGCATACAAAATAAAAAAGCATAATGGGAAGAACTATAATTAAGCTCTAGTTAGTATTTTTGTGTTTCATATCAAAAGTGTAATAGGATCTTTAATGAAAACATACTGTGACTGCACTGACTAAAAACRTACCCCGAGATCTCGGCCGGGGCAGGAGCTCCAGAGACAGGAACGGTGTGAACACGTTCTATAAAAGAGGGAACTTTGCTGCCTACAGAGGGAAACTGAGGCAGGGAGAAATCTAATCTTTGATTAGTGTGTTAGAGAGGCGATCCCTGGCAGAGCTGGGAACTAAACTTAGCCTGCAGAGTGCTGGCGGCAGCAGCCCTTTCCCTGGGACAGGCTGCATTCCTCCCCCGAATACCGCAGAGCAATAAATAGCAGCAAGCAGGGAAAAGGGAAAGGAGGACAGGGAGAGCTCGGGGCTCTCCTCTGAGATTGGTGATGACCTGGCAAAGCAGCGAARTGGCCAGGGAGGAGGACTCACAGCTGGGAAAGCTGTGCCTCCCTCCCCTGAGCAGTGCAGGAGGGGCACAGTGGAGGCAGAAAGGTCAGGGAGGAAGGTGAAGATGATAAAGGTGTCCTCAAGAAACCAAGAGATGTGTTTTCAGCTTCCTCCTGAAAGGGCTGAACCCTGCAGGGCTTGAGGTGGAGCACAGCCCTGTAGGTGCAGGGCATCTGTGGGGTCCGGGTACCCTGGCAAGCTGGCTGTGGGATGGGAGCAGACCCTGAACCCCTGCAGTGCCAATGAACTCTGACTTGCTTTCCTCTGGTTTTTTTCAGCTGTGAGGAGTCCCTTTTTACATCTCAGGCTCTCTCTAGCATCCCCAGCACATCACAGCAGGCACCCATGGTCCCTCCAGCCRCCCCCACTGCCTGACACTCCAGCCTCCCATTTTGGATCCCCACCTTCCTCCTGTGTCTGTGTGACCCTGCGGTGCCACTGCCAGGGACAGAGGTGGCACATCAGGGCAGCTCTGGTGCTCTGGGTGTGCTGCACACACCCTCACTGTGGTCACAGTGCCACCTGACTCTTCTCAGGCACCCTTAAGTAGCCCAATCTCTTCTCTTTAGAGTCCCAGATCCTTTCTGGAAGTTGTAGGAATTTTCACTGAAAAACACCCTGTGAACCTCACTGTTCCCTGGAACTAGGCCGTGTCTGTGGTGAGGATTTATTACCAAAGGGACWGTGCAAATCTTGTTTCTTGAGGAAACAGCGATAAAAAGGAGTATTTAAATGGCAAGAAAGCACTGGGACAAACTCTGCCTCTGGATGGGTGGATGAGAGTATCAGTTATTTCAGTGCTGAGCACTGTGTGCCTTTCCAAAGGCTTAATTTCTATCTGGCAAAGGTGTGRCTGGCCTGGCTGTGCCATGGGGAGGAGCGGGGAAAGGAGCTATGACCTTTCAAAAATGAGCAGCCAGATTTCTGAATGCATGTGTGCCGAGAGGAAAAGCTCACTTGGCTTTCTCTCCCTCCCCTTCCCCCACTGAAAAACTCAGCTCAAAGGAAAAAACTTCTCTGCAAATGGAAATACWATTGCCACATTGCCCTTTGCAAGAGAAACAACTTGACATTTGACCATACGTGGAATTTCCTTAGATGTGGGCTCTGCTGCAAGACAAAKTTCTCTCAGGCTTCTGCTGCTTTCTAAATTAAAGGAAAAGAGTATCAATGGTGTATAATTTTCAGCTCTGCAGCCTTTGGGCTTCTCTGTCCTGTTCCATGCAAGTTTAACACCTTGTCATTAATAAGGTTACTGAACTTTTAAGGATAATGTTGCAATATAATGTAAATATACACTGSTACTGTACTTCAAGATGGCCAGGACCCCTGATTTGTCCACATTAGCTGCTGCAGTGATGGCCTGGGGATGGCCCTTCAGCACATCTGGGTCTGCTCTGCATGACATGATGATGATTTCATGTGCCAGCCCTGTTGATTAGCTGTAAACCACATTTCCAGAGGCTGCTTCTGATTCCTGTCATTTCTGTGGATTAATAAAGTGATTGATGAGGAATGGATCTGGGATAAAGCAGAGTATTGGCTTGGGTTTGTGCTGAAGGGGCAGTGTGGACAAGGCATCACTGAGAACTGCAAGAGGCAGCCCTGGGAGTGTCGAGAGGCAGAAACAACCCTGGCTCTGCCCTGGGTGAGAGCTCTCAGGTTTGTTTAAGTGCATGTGAAAAAACAGTGCCAAATGCATCAAATTAGGAAATTGCAAGGAAGCTTGTCCCTACAATTTCAAAGCACCAAATGTTTGATCTGGACTTCCCAAATGCCTCCAGCTCCCAGAGAAGGCTGRAACATTTACTTATACATTGAAAGATGCACTTGCTGCTGGACTGTTGAGTATCTCAAGAATGGGTGTAAGTTATTTCAGTCACAGAAGAGATTGCAGCCAGGTGGACACCAAGCACATCACAAAGCTGCCACAGCTCTGTGGTGATGCAGCAGCTGCAGCTGGGCTGGYGAGTGTCCAAAGGGTGCTCCTGGACCTGCTGCAGCCCTTTAGCACACTGAGGCAGAGGTTTTGGGCAAGTGAAAGGATGTCACATACTTACAGCCCCATTTCCAGCAGTCCTGCAGCAGCTATACCTGTCCCAAACCCCAAGAGATCAGTGCCAGGCACACAATCAGCCCATCCYTCAGAAATATTTTCTCACACATTCAGACTTTTAATACAAAAGAAGAATAAATGTTCTGACACTTTTCATGAGCATTAAATGAAAACACAGATTTTTTTTTACTCTTTCTTTTAGATCACAATAAGTAAATCAGCATTATCGAGGTTTTCATGTTTGCAGACTGACTGATTTAGTGAGTTCTTTCCTTTGCCTCTTGCCTCCTGTGGACCTGGGACCAGGGTCCCTTGCCATCATGTCACAGACCCATTGGATGACCCTGGGGAAGTCACTTAACCCCTTCCACGATTTCCCCATCTCTGTGCTGGCAGGGAGGATTCTAATTTCCTTCAGAAGCCTGAGTGCCTGACTCCCTGCACTGCCTGGCTCAGCTCCAAAGAGCTGCAGTCCCTGCTCAGCATCTGAGCCCAGCCTTTCCACCCCCAAACCACAGCCTGACCCCCAAACCACCCCMGCCTGACCACACCAAGGCAGCCTTGAATTTCTTCATGAGACAGCTGGAGGTGCCTGTTGTGAAAAACATMAATATCAGAAAACCTAAACCAGATCTAATCCTGTTTTCAATGAAAACTCTTTGAAAAAACAACTTATGTGCTGTTTGAGCAGTCACAAGCAAGCTTTCCTTTAACCCCAGGAGCATGCCTCACCCACAACGTGACTTACAGAGGTTACCTAAGTGGTGATAATCTGCTTAATTCACTATTCCCAAGGAGTCTTGTCCTCTTTTCAGAAATTGCCAAGAAGGTCACCACTTCCGTTAATTGTGGCTGTGTTTATTGTAAGAAGGAGGCGGCTCCGAGTGACTGAGGATGGAAACTCCTCCCAGACCATTCCTGCTGTCRTGCACTGGTGAGGAATGTTTGCAGAAAAGCAAATGAAAGTGGCCTGTAAAGYGCACCATGTTACAAACTTCACAGACAGCCTAATTATTAATTTCCTCTGCTTGATAATGATTCCATTACCAATTTCTTAATCAATTCTGTCTCCTAGCATGGCAGACCTTCACTCAGTGTTCTGGGGACAGTAGTTGCTTTGCTAGAGAAAAYCAGCTAGACAGAGATGATCAGCTGGACAATTATCAGAGCGGGTCTCTCTGTTTCTGCTGCTGGCCATTCCCAAAAGCATCGTTTGCTCCTGTTCCAAGTTTGGGATGAAAGCCTGATCTTTTTGTAACCTGTTGGGGCTATCCTTGGCCAGTGACAGTTTTAACATTCTATTTTCCACTTGGTGAAAGCATCTTGCTTGCTTGACACAGCATTGAGCAGGGAGAAAATCTTGGAGATGACAATGGAAATGAGATTTTATTTGTCTGAAGGTAGGACTGTGTTAGGCTGTTGTAAATATCCTGCCTTGGTTATGGGCTGTCGGGGCTACTCCTAGTAAAGGTGGGTGAAGCTGTGGTCTCTTTCTGAGCAGCAGTGGACAGAGGATGCTTTCACTCCCTCAAAACAAATTTCAGAATTCCCAGGATAAGCCAATGATTCAATGTGGCTGACACTTCAGCTTCCTTCATCACCAAAGCAATATCCTCGATCACAGGCAGCTGCAATTAGTGCCCAAAGCACCAATARTGATGAGGAACGCTGTGGCTTTCCCCTTCCTAAAGGATGGCACTGTGCCTCTGGAATTGCTCTCGAGATTTTCCTGCTCTGAAGCCTTTGTCAGCTAACCTTGGATAGATAAGCTGTCTAGGGAAGTTATTGATTCCTCTTGTCTCCACCTCCTCCCTGCCCAGTTAGACTGATTTATAGGAATTTTGGTAGGAACCACTAAAATGCTGGCAGAGCTTATTAATCTATGAATCCTTTAAAGGCTTCCCTCCTTGCAGAGACCATCTGTTTGCCTGAGTGCTATTTTTGCAGCTGCCGAATCAGGTTTGCGAGACTCTCACCTTCTCCTCAAACCCAACACATGATACTGCAATATTTACACTCAGGGCTCGACACTTTTTCCAACCAGATCTGCACAGAACAAATGCAGCCTCGCTCATCTGTGCAAGACTGAAACCCAGTAAAACAAACAGCAATAATGCCCTTAAAACCAAAAGCAGAAAGATCAGACTGCACTGTATAATTTATTTTGGCTTTTTGTGTTCACTGGGAGACTATTCAGTAACACCTGAAACATCTGCAGAGGGAACTGCCAATAACTGTAATTACAGCATGAAAATCTACCATACACTGATGGGAAAAGAGCTGTGGCCTATGTCCCCTGTGCTGGGTGATGCTGCAGAGACACAGCAAAGAGCCACCCATGTTTGTCAGCAGMTGCCAAAAACTGGGCTCATTCTGTCGTGCTCACCTTGAAAATGYCAYKGAGATTCACACTATCAATTAATTTYTTCTTTAAARTAAGTCCTCTTCTAAATCTTTGATGTTATTTTATTTACTATATATTTGCACATTTGCATAAAACATTTTCTCTGTGAGCCAGCAATTATCACTGGTAAGGCTCAAATTTCTTGGAAATAGCTGAAATTTCTTCCCCATTTTCTTTTTAAATGTGCAAAATTATTTTCCCTGCCACTGGATTGGTGTCACCTGACACAGTTAATCTTCTAATCTTCTCTCTAGGGTGACATCAGAGGAGATGATGGAGATATTTCCTTTCTTGAATGCAAAGCTCAGATTCAATTTTTACTAGCAAAAATCTTACTAATAAAAAAAAAAAGAGATAAAATCAAAGTTATGACATACCTAGTTATGTTGTTGAGCTGCCACTACTTTTGTATTTGTTGCTTCCTAGAGGGCTTTTTCAGCTGTCAGCTGTRTCTTGCCTATTTTTACTCACTTTTCCTTCCCTGGATGAAACCACATGAGATCTTGTCAGAGCATCAGCTCCTCTTGAAGTTGCATTATTACACTCCCCATCCATCAAGTTGAAATGTGAAAAGAATGTGTCAGAAAACAATAATGAAATGAAATTCCAATTATTGGGACTTCCTGGGTGCTSTGTTTCCAGCTGAGCTGATGGTTTTCCCTTCTGCTGATTGCTGCACAGAGGTTCAAGCCCATCTGGGCAGCAGCTCATTTCTCTGCTGTGTGTTCTTGTGGCACAGCATCCCACTGGATGGGATTTGGCCCCCTGATCCCATAGGTACATCTGGGACATCACCAAGGTCCCACCGTGACTCAGGAGATGTGGGGCTGACAGTGGGGCTGGTAGTGGTCAGCCAGCATGGTTCCCTCTTGCTTTTCTGCATTTTAACATGGTGCAGCTCAAAAAATGTGGTTAATTTTACCCCTTACATTCGAGGACAGAAAGGCACATTCTTTCCCCACGACTGCAGGGCTTTTCAAGGGGGGAAAGCATGTCTTAGCTAACAAATTSCTAGCATTTTGGGCTCTTCAGTGCTCTGAGAGAAGGTCATCCACATCCTGATGCCAACCTGCTAATATCAGCCTGCACTTTCTCTTCKAGCCCTGTCCTTCCCCTCCCCCTACCCAGGCTGTGAATCCTCTGTACCCAACAGTCAGAAATCTCTTCACACGGCAGGAAAAACCCAAGGGAATTTGCATAAATTAGAAGGGAGAAGCGCATTTCAGCCATTCTCTCTTTAAACTGCGTGGAAATCACGCTGATGGGAGATATAAATGCCTGCCGAAGCGGGCAGTAAGGCGCTTGCCTCAATCTCACGGAAAATTGCAGATTTAATAATCAGATCTGACTTGGTCAGCTAAAGAAATAATTCTCGCTTCCCCTGATTTCCCTCTGCCAGGAGAGAGCAAGGCAGAGGGAAGCAGAACAACTTACCCATGCCCCTACAGCAGGGCTGAGTTTAGAAAAGCCTTTCCACCAGTAATGTCAGCAGGCAGCCAGAGTCTGGCAGTGCCTGAGATCCCACAGTGGGAAGCACAGCTCCCTGCTTTTCCTGGGAGGTTTGGATGRGGCTGGCTCAGTCCATGGCTGAGTGAGAGACAAGTCAGCAACAGCAAAAGCCCTGGTCCAGCTGGGAGCTTTCAGGTGGATCAGGCCCTTTTCACGGTCAGATGGCCGAGTCAGTCAGGTGGTGGGGAAAATTATGARCTCCCCATGGGATTTAAAATCTTAAAGTCCAGGTTTTCCAGGATATTTAGGCACTTAGATCAGGCACGGATCAGAYGGCATGTCTAAACCCATAGGTTACCAACTCCCACTACATGTCTTACTCGTGTAGGTGACAGTATTTGGGCACTCAGGCTATTTGTGCCATGACAGGTGCCCTGCACTCTGGTTTCCCCAAATATGTCCTCTTTTCCAGGCACATCAGCTCAGGTCCAGGGMTTTTGTATCTCAAAAGCCCTTTGGACTGTCCAGCCTGGCATTGAACATGCCCAGGGATGGGACATGTATGACACTCTTGGGCAGATATCTCTTCCTGGAAATCTCCAGAGGGGGGTATGGACACCATAGCAACTGCTTAAGTACATCACAATGCATCAGGAAAATGCAACTGTCTTCCACAGGAGACTAAATGGTCCAGATAAATCTTCTTTAGGTAATACTCCAGTGAATTCCTTCCATACATTGCATTTACTACTGCRCTCATGGTACTTGTCAGGGATTTTCTGCAGATGGCTGTCTCTCAGGTAGTAGAATGAAACAGACAGATGTAACAGATCTCTGCATGTTGAGGGGTAAGCATCCTTCAGGTTCCTTGCAAAGTCCAAGTGAGAGCAGTTATTGGCAAATATTTAGCCCATTCCTCACATTAGTTTAATATCTGCTGAAATAATACGTGCTTTACTTCTCACCTTTTATCATTYAGTTCAATTTTTGGCTTATGCATTTTTTGCCGTGACAAACACCAGGCTTATTCATAAATTCCCAAAACTTTCTCTGTCAGATTTAAATTTTCCAGGCTTGGCATTTCTCCAGCAGCAAACATGGATCTTCTCTTTTCAGGCTGAGAAACTGGGAAGTTGGAAGAAATAGTTTTAATCAAAGAAAAAAGTGTTATAATTTATCAAACCCCAGCATCATAACTAAAGTCTCCAGGGATCAAAGCTAATTTTTTGATTGAAGCTACATATGAAAAAAAGGTGTTTGTTTGTGAGTATCATTGTACAATTAGATCTGATTTGTTCAACTTCTGACCTGCTTTAGCATTTCACTGAAGAGCTCTCCCAGGGCCAAATCCCAGTAAGGGGGTCTGGCAGATGAGCTCCTGCCAACTTTGCTGTAATAGTTTAAGATGTATTTGTCCTCCCACCTCAGTCTTCTGTTCAAGCTTCTCTGCCTCTCTCCCAGAAGATGCTGACCACTTGCAGCAGATTTGACCACAGACAATGCAGGGGGGGTATTGAGGCAGAGTAATAACTTAAGTAACTCTGGAGCTGAGACACCAGGCTGTGATTTGGCATGCCTTCCCTGCAGGCACTTTTCCAGCTCTGCTGGAGGGCTCCAACCTTCAGTGGGGGAGCAGCAGCACACAGCTGTGAGAGGTAACTTCAAAACCAGCTGCAGCTGTTTGCTCCGAGTACAAGGAGGAATGGTGAGTCCTTAATCCTGCAAATACTTATGCATGTGTTTATAACCGTGAGCAGTTCCAGGAACTTCAGTGGGGCTTGAAGTTAAATTGGCACGTAAATGCTTGCAGAACCGGGAGTCTGCGTTTTCACAGGGTCGAGCTCAGAAAGCTTTGATTCTCACACATTGGAGCAATATGTTTCTGCAGTCAGTGACACTGCAAGAAAAATTCCCCAGTCTGGTTGAGACCTTCTTCCTTTCCCAGATGCATACCACAATCAAGATCAGACACCTCCCTGRCTGCCAGGGGAGCAGAATGGCCACTCCTTGGGGCTGTGGGCRGCAGCAGGATGGAGAGGTTAAGCACGATGCCCTGCACTGCTGCTCCTTGCACAGCCCCTTAGGCAGAGAGCACAGCCTGAGGCTGTTTCTCTTCAGAGYTGCCCTCCAGGTGAGCCTTGCCCCGGTTGATATCTCCATGTGTAGCATGAGCAGAAGAGGAGCAGGCACTGACAAGGGCTGCCCTGGCAGAGCGGTGCCAACAGATCCCCATGCGGGCAAACCCCAGTGGCCACCGGACACTTCTGGCTCTGCTTGCCCAGCCCTGCGTAGGCAACCCGAGGAATGCTTTTGGGAACATGTCACAATCTCCTTTTGCAGCTATTTTAGCTTCTTAGTCAGTGGCCTGACATCCTGAATTGAATCCGTGGCTAGCTGTGCTGCTGAGTAACCAGCAGAGTATTRAAAGGCTCAGGCAGAGCCAGCAGTGTCAGCCTTTGGGCGCTTGGAAGCATCTGAGTAAAAACAGTACCAAATTTTTCAGAGGTGCTGGGCACACCGAGATCCTCGTATACTTCATGTAAATTAAGCTTTTTCTTCTTCAAGGCGTTTTGAAGAAAGGCATTCCCAAAGGCTCATTGCCCCGAGGGGCTGCCTCCGGCCACATGGTCTGGAAGTGCTCCCCAGATGGAGCCCCCCTTGCCTCCTCCCAACCCTCCCTCCAGCTCTGGTCMGAACCCCCGACATCTGTGAAGGGCTCAGACACCGAAGGTCTGAGTCAGGCAAAGCCCAGACTGCTGCTGGCTGTTCCCAGGAGAAAAAGTGGCAGCAAATCATCCCCCCCAACCCCCCCGGGTGCTGAGGCTCCCACCAGGTCCCGCACATGTCCTGCCAAGCCYAGCCTGGCTCTAACTCTGCCAGAGCCTTTGCTTGCACTTCATTAAGGTGCCTAATGAGCACACCAGTGTGCAGGGGTATTCTCCCCTGACTGCGAGTCTAGGAATCTCGTACCAAGCAAATCCCACATCAACATTTTCAAAATTTAAAAAAAAAAAAAAAGTTGTAGGAGCAGCCACCAAACAAGTATTAAAGTGGCATGTTTTTAAGCAAGAAAAGTCATGAAGGTACAGATAAATCTTCACTCACAATATTATTATAAATGACGAAATAGCCTTTAGTAACAGTGTCATGAAAAAAATTTCTCAGATATTTCCACATAAACAAAGACCTTTCCCCCCCCTTTCCCCTTAAAGAGATAGACCCTGGCTTCTACCCCCTTTCCAGCAGTGAGTGTTTGTGCTCGGACCCTGCAGAAGGGGAAGGTACAGAGCGCGATGTCAGTCTATCCCCCAGCTCCCCCCGCAGCCCCCCGGCAAGCAGGAGAGCCCTGCGGGGTGGCTGCCACCACCCACCCCACCGCACAGCAATTAGCTCTGTTCTCCCGCGTAGATTTGCTGCTTAGCTCTTAAAAGCCGTTTCATAAATATTCGATGGCCTTTCCGACAGGGTAATGTGCCTCTGTGACATTAAAGAGGAAACTCCGCGAAGGGGAGGGATGACAACAAATTTATCCACCAATAGCACACTCTTTTGGCACAAAAGCACATTCTTATCTTTACATCCCATAATGAGAAGGCAGGGACGGGACTGTTGCTACAGCTCTCTGGGTGGGTAGATGTACAGTGCAGGAGAAGGGTGGCTGTAAACTGWTAGATATTTTTCCCCCTTGCCTTTGCGAACAGAAGGACCCGCGCCTGCGGTCCTGCAGTGGTTTTCCTGAGCCCCCGGTGMGGAGCACTTCTCGCACGATGTCAGACTGCGAGGGACTGCCTGTGGGTAAGCGCCAGATTTATATTTACCCCAGTGTCCTGCCGACTGGTTCGCATTCTCAGATTGCAGAGTCACACGCGAAGCCGCTTGCTTTCGAAGGGAGCCGGAGCCGCAGCAGGGAGAGGAGAAACTCCCTGAAAGCACCGCAGAGCCTGGTGCGGTGCCTTACGAGTCCGTGCTGGAGGGCTGGAGAGGGTGGCAATGCCTGGATTGTCCCTGAGGACACGGGGCTGGGTAGCAGGAAGGGTTCTGTGGTTCAGACAGATGGTCTGAAGTGTGTCCGGACGGATGATGGTATCGATGTGTGCAGTTTGAGCTCACCAAGGAGAGTTTCTGGGGATGGGTGCTGCAGGACCAGGCGCTGTGTATGTCCTGTTTGCTCCTTGATAAACCTTCCCGGATGGTAACGGACGCAGCAAGGGCAGATAAATGCAATCCAAAGGGTTTGTTTGCTGCAAGGAAATGGAAATGTACCTTATGTTTAAAGTGTTACACTTTGCCTGTATCTGGGATGGAGCACTTAGGGCTGTATCTGTCAAACTTCACTGAGCAGAAGAGCACGTCAGCAAGAAGCATGTTTCTCAGCTGTTTTTTTAAAAACTTCTATAAACATTCTCTAGGCTGYCTGTACAAAAGGAATCTCTTGTCARTATGATAGCCTAACTCTCTGCCAAGGCATTTTACTAATAAAGACATAGACCACTGGAAACATCTTTTATTTTTCCCTTGGCCATGGCAAGCATTGATCTTTASACATAGGTATATATATACACAGGTGTAGCACTCAGGTTCCACGGGTCTGTGAAGGCTGTGCATCAAAGATGGGGTTCTGGGATAAAAAGTACCTCTGGAGAATGCTGCTGCAGTATTATTCTTTTTTCCTTCTCTCTCTGCTTCCATTTTAAAAAGCAAATCCCAAGACCAAAACTGCGCACTCATAACCAGAGTGGAAAAATATAAATTATGTATATGGTGCAGAGGAAGCTGCACCATGCACAATTCCCTGTGCTGTTRCTATCAGCTAAAGACAGGAGAAATGAAAATTAATATTTCCTGCTTACCTTCTCAAAGGTCTGATCTGTTAACCAGCAAAGTTTTGACTCTCCAGGCTTTGATTTTAAGGGCCTGGCCCCAGTTTGCTTATTAAGCACTCTGAGTTGGGGGTGGGGTATTTCAGGGTGACAGTAGCWGTATCAGCTGGCATCTGATATTAATGATGAAACTGATATGGAGAGTGCATGGCATCTTGTGTGCAGGAATTACTGATATCTCAATTACTTTTGCTGCTGAAAGGACCTAGGAGTTTTCTTCCAGAAAAACATTCAAGGATGCACTGAGGGAGGGAAACAATTTTCTATGGGCAGGAATGAAAAGTAAAGATAGAGTGAGGTTTAGATGTGGATCAGAAATGCRAGTAATTCATTCCAGTAATTCTCTCATGCCTCCCAGCCCTGTTTTCCAGGCCTGGTCCCAGGAAGCAGGGCTCACTCTGCTCAATCTCAGACACAACCAACCTGTCCCGAGGGACATCTGCTTCACAGACCTTGCATAATAGTCTGATACCTGTACTTATAGATGTTTGGATTCATAAATGCATATAAAAATATGCACAAAACCAGCAATGGAGAGAGAAATGGTGGTACTCCAYCAGAGTTATTAAACAATCTTAGTGAAACATTCGCTGACAGCTTGCTTTTCAAGTTAAGGAATTTTGAAATAATTCTCTTTGTGGCTATTGCTCTTTGACTAGCCAGGTCAAAGTTTAAAACTTTAGCAAATTAAAACTTAAAACTCCATWAAAAAGTTGCAAAAAATCATCATCAAACTTTCTTAAACACTGATTGGTGTCCACTTGTGCAGAAATGCCCCTTTGCTGAATCCAGTGAGGATAGCAAGGCTGGAATTGCACTTGTAAAATCCTTGGTTTTGAATGCAGCCAGATAATACAGCTACAAAAAGTTGGTGCAGTGACAGATGTCATTAGCACGGYGATGTGGCTGCAATCCAGAGCCCTGCTCCTCACACAGATCGTGCAGCCCTGAGCATGTGCCCGTGTATACACATGCACAGGGCTATAAATAAGTTTAGCCAAAGCACAATATTAGTGTCAAGTGTGTSTATTGCAAAGGGTATGCCTCACGAACAACCTGGAGAGCTGCACTTTGTAGTTGCAGGAAATTAATGCCAGAGCTTTTAGACGGCTTTCAGCCTACACAAGAATGTAGCAGGAACAGCTGCGTGATTGTTCCCTCGGAAAAGCAACTCGGGAGGAATGGCTGAATACAATCTTTGACTTAAATAGCTGGATAGGAACGGGTTGATGCACCAATAATTTTTCAAGAGGCTTTATTCAGTAAGAGTATCCCGCTTCAGTGCTGGAAATTGTTAYGCAATTTTTCATGATGAAAACATCGGGTGTTTTTAAATTTCTGGTTTATGTTCAATTCCAGCGTGGCTGCACTCTTTCACTGTTGTGGAATGGAAAATTAAACATGCAATGCAAACAAAGTTTTATTTTGTTGTTTAAATGTAGCACAGAATTCATTAAAAAAGGATCTTAAATGCCAGAATGGGAATGCAGATTACATGTATTTTGGATTGAATTCATACAAAAAAACAAAAAAAAAACATTTGAAAGCCTTCTGAAATTTGAAAATTAACAGAATTCTAAAAGTTACACTAAAAACTTCCCATTGTAACACAGGGAGATAAAGAACAAAGAAAGATCCGTCACTTCAGGACAAATGCACTCCTATTTCTTCCTCATTAGCAATTATTGACATACTGATGCTATCCATTAGTGCCAGCTACATAGATTTCTTGTCACTCCTACATGCAGATAAAAGAAAAGCACATCAATTATTTAAGTGCTTCCCCTTGTGTGTATTATTTTTCTCTTGTAAGGAGTCGTAGTTCAGTCTCTGAACAACTGAACAGCTTTTCACGCACCCAGCATTTTGATTAGGAATATATGAGTCATGGATTCTGGTTCTTAACACAAACCTTTTGACTTCAGAAAAATCTCTGAAGTCACGCAAAGGTTCTTAAAGTGCCTCTTTTCATATTTTCTCTTTTCAGCCACAGACTGATTTTGAATAGCATGGGTAGCTTCTTGTGGATCACACCGTTGTTGAAATAACACAGGGTATTGAACCATAACAGATGAAGATTATAATGCTGAAGAAAAACATCAGAAGTCTCATATATGCATACTTTCTCTGTTATTTACTGCATCAGGGCTAAGAAGGGAAGAAACAGAAATGATATAGCTTGTTCTGCAGCAGGTGGCATGCGAATATAACKGAATTTCCTTAAAATTCCTCACAAACTTTTATTGGCCTTATTTCAGTAGAGGAGGAAGCAAGACTTTTCATCTGAAGTATGTTCCTGACTCTTTAGCTAAATACTTCCTTTCCAAGCTAAAATTACACATTTCAAACATGTCTTTAAGACAGACTGGAGCCAGTTGATAAAATTGGTGCTTTTAGAATTAGGATATCCCAGAAACCTATGGGAATTTAGGTTTCCTGAAATTCAACCCTTATTCTGCACTGGCATGGGGAGTCCATTTATCTCAGCCAGAGAGGCTGTTAGTGAGCAGGACCTYCAGCTCCCATGCTGGGCTGTCTCTAAACAGCTGCTGGGAATAAAATACGGGCCACGTACATTTCTGTAACAAAAAATCATGACTCAGCACATGCATGAGCATTACTCCTGTCAAATAAAATTGCCCCACTTTCACATACTCAYATGAGCATAGGGCTATGCCTGAAATTAACGTTTCATTAGACCTGGTGAAAAATGTCTATCTTTTTGCAGATAACTCCATGTCTCTCTTAGGACTGGAGCAYCTCTTCTGCATTACAGTTTGCAGGGTGGGGCACGAAGTAAAAGGCAACAGCCTGAAATCACCTTGCAGAGTTGTTGTACAGACTGCAGTTAGCGCTCTGGGATAAGCAGAGAAGTGGGGAGATTTTTCCTGGCATATCAAGCCAGTTACTTGCTGCAGCCTAGGAATGAAATGGCATGACTTGAGCATCTCAAGAGAGAGGTCTGCARGATGAGCCATAGCTCCTGACTGCAYTAAACCCACCAGCACYGGCTTGCAWGCCCAGAGCTCCCCAGGAGGATCYCCCTGYCAGGGCAAGGTGAGCCCAAGGTGCTCAACTACCTCAGGCAAATGTGCTGGGGTGATGAGAAGCTGGCAAGCATCTGTATTATTTATCAGGGTTTRTAACTGATGGACACTTCACAGAAACTCTGGTCGTGGTGTATGGACTCCTTGGCAAGCTCATTTCCTTTTGCATTTGGGAAGTCAGCTTGGGAGATTAATGTTAGCTATTAGAAGCAGTCACACATTTTCTAGGTTAAGACTTTGCAGCCTCTGAAATTAGGAAAATGACAAACTCTGCTGTGAACCTTGTTTTGCTCCTCCAACATGGGTATGCTGTCCCAGAGGCTTGGTGGTGGTTCAGTGGGAGGTGACCATGTTCCAAAAGTGTCCTGAGCACTGGGTTAGCCCTCATCTCCAGCCTGTGCAGTTCAAGTAGCAGGTGAAGTTTCTTTCTGTTCAGATGGCAGGCAGAGGCTGTGCCTACTCACTGTTGTTCTGAAGCAGAGTGTGAATATGTGTGCTATGTGCTACAGGGCTGCAGCTGGGGGTATTTGACCTAGAAGAGGAATTAACATCCATTTTCAGAAAAAAAGTGTTTGTTTGTTTATTTTTTTGTTTCTTTTAGGAGGGTGCTCTCTGAGGCAGTCAGTAGAGGCAGTGGAAGTCAGCACGAATGTTTGCTGCTAGCACGTTGAGGATCTAGTTAGGAAAGACAGAAGATGCTACATACTTCCCAAGTGCTCCTCCCATCCTCCCCCATCCCCATCCCCCAATATGAGGATTTTCCTCATCTGCAGAAATGCTTGGAAGCTGCAGTTTGTCCCAGGGTCTGTGAGCAAGAGCRCTTGCACACTACAGCACATTTTTGGACTGTCTTATTCCATGATGTTTACAGTAACTTAAGGCATGCAAAAAACAACCAATGTGTTTTTTCTCCCCCCTCTCCTCCATCCCTCATAACATCTGCAGTATTTCCAACATATTCTGTGTTAAGCCATCACTATTTAGAAGCCATAATTGCATTTAACAGTGTCTGGAAACKTCTCTTGCTACAGATCTATTATACAGGCAGTAATTTAGAGGGTGGGGCCCCCTTCCTTTCTTTTGCCATTTAGACTACAAACTAAATACAAAGTGTGCCCTCCCAAAACCTGGCAAGTGCCCAGTCCCTCATCATYATATTCAGCTCTTCTCTGTCYCTSTTATTTCTTTCCTTACAGACTGTTATCAGCTAACTCACCACACACTAGTGGTTTCCACAATTAAGTTTGMAAYGTTAGGGATTACCTTACATCTCAGMCCTCCTCTAAAACTCACATAAAAGACTGGCAAAATCCCCCAAATGCTTTCTTCTTTGTGGGAAAGAAACTCTGGSGCTGAGGAATGGGCTCCTGACAAATGCCAGGTGCTGGGCATGGACGTGTTAGTGGTGCCCAGGAYCAGTTCCCCGAAGGAATCCTGGGTTTCACGGAGCAGCTGAAGTCACTGTTGAGTCAGCAGGGCCCATGGGGACTGCTCATAGCTGCTCTTTRGTTCTGCACATGATCTGTCAATCACCAAATTGCTTTTGGAAGAAAAGCCTGTCTCTGYGAGCCATTGCTCAGGCCGTTCCAAACCAGGCTTGGTAAAAAGGCTGTGGTCCTTTAGGAATCACAGCAAATCCCAAGATGACATTGGGAAGTACAATGCTTTCTCCATCACAAAATACAGGGAACATTTCAGAGAGGTACCAATGGCTGATTTATCTYGGGTAGCTTTTCTGCACTGCCCAGAGCGGGAAACCCTCAGCACCACTGCTTTCAGCACTTTGTGAGGCTCAAGTTTCCACCACTTCAGTGCTCCTTCTTGGGAGAACACAGACTCATCCCCATCAGGTATTATGAGGGCATGCAATTAAGAGTTTGGAGAGGTGTTTGAAAGGTTTAGGTCCAAAATCCCCTCATAAATCCATAGCCCCTACTTGCAAACTTGGTATTTTACGGGGTTCTCATCGATCTTGCAGCTAAAC